CCCATCTGAGGAAGCGTTGATAGCAGCGACAGGTGGCATAAGGCAGCAGCAGCCAGACATCAAAGTTGAGGAAGCAAAAGTGGCTTTTGAGGGACAGTCCACGATGCGCCATGATACCAAGCACTCCCTGTGGAGAAGCTGCTTCAGTTTTTAGGGCCACCAGCTTGTGATGAAATGGCTCCGCCAATTCCTTTTGAGGGAGAATCATCCATGAAGGCTCACTTTGTGGCTCCTTCAACCGAGGCAGTGCTAGCTGCAAGCAGCGCAAGTCTGAGACATGCAGACTTACAGGCTTCAAGCCAGCCGACAGCTCGCTTTGAGGGTCAGTCCACTATGCACCAGGATTTCCAAGCGCCACCACCAGTGGCCTTGAACCAGCCCCAGCCAGCTGCAGCAACAACAGCAGTGAGTCCAATCCGGTTTGAAGGTGAGTCATCCATGAAGGCTCACTATCAAGCCCCATCTGAGGAAGCGTTGATAGATGCGACAGGTGGCATAAGGCAGCAGCAGCCAGACATCAAAGTTGAGGAAGCAAAAGTTGCTTTTGAGGGACAGTCCACGATGCGCCATGATTACCAAGCACCCCCTTTGGAGAAGCTGCTTCAGTTCTTAGGGCAACCAGCTTGTGATGAAATGGCTCCGCCAATTCCTTTTGAGGGAAAATCATCCATGAAGGCTCACTATGCGGCTCCTTCAACCGAGGCAGTGCTAGCTGCAAGCAGCGCAAGTCTGAGACATGCAGACTTGCAGGCTTCAAGCCAGCAGACAGCTCGCTTTGAGGGTCAGTCTACTATGCACCAGGATTTCCAAACGCCACCATCAGTGGCCTTGAACCAGCCCCAGCCAGCTGCAGCAACAACAGAAGTGAGTCCAATCCGGTTTGAAGGTGAGTCATCCATGAAGGCTCACTACCAAGCCCCATCTGAGGAAGCGTTGATAGCAGCGACAGGTGGCATAAGGCAGCAGCAGCCAGACATCAAAGTTGAGGAAGCAAAAGTGGCTTTTGAGGGACAGTCCACGATGCGCCATGATTACCAAGCACTCCCTGTGGAGAAGCTGTTTCAGTTCTTAGGGCCACCAGCTTGTGATGAAATGGCTCCGCCAATTCCTTTTGAGGGAGAATCATCCATGAAGGCTCACTATGCGGCTCCTTCAACCGAGGCAGTGCTAGCTGCAAGCAGCGCAAGTCTGAGACATGCAGACTTGCAGGCTTCAAGCCAGCAGACAGCTCGCTTTGAGGGTCAGTCCACTATGCACCAGGATTTCCAAGCGCCACCACCAGTGGCCTTGAACCAGCCCCAGCCAGCTGCAGCAACAACAGAAGTGAGTCCAATCCGGTTTGAAGGTGAGTCATCCATGAAGGCTCACTACCAAGCCCCATCTGAGGAAGCGTTGATAGCAGCGACAGGTGGCAAAAGGCAGCAGCAGCCAGACATCAAAGTTGAGGAAGCAAAAGTGGCTTTTGAGGGACAGTCCACGATGCGCCATGATTACCAAGCACCCCCTTTGGAGAAGCTGCTTCAGTTCTTAGGGCAACCAGCTTGTGATGAAATGGCTCCGCCAATTCCTTTTGAGGGAGAATCATCCATGAAGGCTCACTATGCGGCTCCTTCAACGGAGGCAGTGCTAGCTGCAAGCAGCGCAAGTCTGAGACATGCAGACTTGCAGGCTTCAAGCCAGCAGACAGCTCGCTTTGAGGGTCAGTCTACTATGCACCAGGATTTCCAAACGCCACCATCAGTGGCCTTGAACCAGCCCCAGCCAGCTGCAGCAACAACAGCAGTGAGTCCAATCCGGTTTGAAGGTGAGTCATCCATGAAGGCTCACTACCAAGCCCCATCTGAGGAAGCGTTGATAGCAGCGACAGGTGGCATAAGGCAGCAGCAGCCAGACATCAAAGTTGAGGAAGCAAAAGTTGCTTTGGAAGGACAGTCCACGATGCGCCATGATTACCAAGCACCCCCTTTGGAGAAGCTGTTTCAGTTCTTAGGGCGACCAGTTTGTGATGAAATGGCTCCGCCAATTCCTTTCGAGGGAGAATCATCCATGAAGGCTCACTATGCGGCTCCTTCAACGGAGGCAGTGCTAGCTGCCAGCAGCGCAAGTCTGAGACATGCAGACTCACAGGCTGCAAGTCAGCAGACAGCTCGCTTTGAGGGTCAGTCCACTACGCACCAGGATTTCCAAACAACATGCGTAGGGCTAGAGCCAAACCCTAGTGGATCACCACCTGCACTGGCGCTTGCTCATTTTGAAGGAGGGTCAACAGCACATCATGACTACGGAGTGCCACCATTGGAGGACTTGCGGCAATTGATTTCAGGCACAAGTTCTGGGAGTCGTGAAAGGAAGCTTCCACAAACAACTTTTGAAGGAGAGTCGTCTATGAGAGCTCACTACCGTGCTCCATCAGCAGATGCACTAAAAGAAGCAAGTCGAAGTCCGTACCAAGGGCGAAGAAGCAGTTCAGCACATGCAGATAGGTCTTCAGTCAAGTTTGAAGCTTCCTCGACCAGTCGCATGGACTACAGGGCACCACCACTGGAATTTTGGCAGCGTGAGCGGCTAGACAAAGATGCAACTGCGAGTGGGCCACCTGCACCAGTCACTGGTCCCTTCGAAGGGGAGTCGTCCATGAAGGCACACTATCAAGCACCGCCACCGGAGTCTTTGAGGATTACACCTCCGGTTGAGCCATTTTCGAGAGAGCCTGCAACAGCATTTGCTCGTTTTGAAGGAGGGTCAACGGCACATCATGACTACGGAGTGCCACCATTGGAGGACTTGCGGCAATTGATTTCAGGCACAAGTTCTGGGAGTCGTGAAAGGAAGCTTCCACAAACAACTTTTGAAGGAGAGTCGTCTATGAGAGCTCACTACCGTGCTCCATCAGCAGATGCACTAAAAGAAGCAAGTCGAAGTCCGTACCAAGGGCGAAGAAGCAGTTCAGCACATGCAGATAGGTCTTCAGTCAAGTTTGAAGCTTCCTTGACCAGTCGCATGGACTACAGGGCACCACCACTGGAATTTTGGCAGCGTGAGCGGCTAGACAAAGATGCAACTGCGAGTGGGCCACCTGCACCAGTCACTGGTCCCTTCGAAGGGGAGTCGTCCATGAAGGCACACTATCAAGCACCGCCACCGGAGTCTTTGAGGATTACACCTCCGGTTGAGCCATTTTCGAGAGAGCCTGCAACAGCATTTGCTCGTTTTGAAGGAGGGTCAACGGCACATCATGACTACGGAGTGCCACCATTGGAGGACTTGCGGCAATTGATTTCAGGCACAAGTTCTGGGAGTCGTGAAAGGAAGCTTCCACAAACAACTTTTGAAGGAGAGTCGTCTATGAGAGCTCACTACCGTGCTCCATCAGCAGATGCACTAAAAGAAGCAAGTCGAAGTCCGTACCAAGGGCGAAGAAGCAGTTCAGCACATGCAGATAGGTCTTCAGTCAAGTTTGAAGCTTCCTCGACCAGTCGCATGGACTACAGGGCACCACCACTGGAATTTTGGCAGCGTGAGCGGCTAGACAAAGATGCAACTGCGAGTGGGCCACCTGCACCAGTCACTGGTCCCTTCGAAGGGGAGTCGTCCAGGAAGGCATGGTGCAATGGTGCACCCTTTTCTGGCTCAGGTCCATTTGATTGCATTGATCCCTTGTGGCGGTCCGAGCATTCACGGCCAGAGATGTCAGAGTCTTCGAAGGTTGATGCTGAGACGGAGCAGTTTTCCATGAGACATTTTCCTGCTTGGGCCGTTGTCCCTAGATCTTTCAGGGAGGCTGAGGAAGCCAGCCAAATGCCTCAGATGTCACAACCGCCACAAGGGCAGACCGTGGACACTGCAGATAGGTTTGGAGAGGTTGCAGGCAATCATGCTTCGGATGAGTACGATGTTGGCCCAAGTGCGGAAGGGCCGAAGGCAAGCCGGTACCAGCCTCGTCAAGCTAGGCAGGAGAAGCAAGTTGGAACGTTGGATGCTCAGTTTTCAGCCCACAAGTACTGGCTTCGAGATGTCCTGCAGATTCCTGCAGACTGAATGTCTCTTTGAAACGATGCTCCAGTTTTGATTCAACCTTCCCGAACACCGATTTCAAACAATTGCGCATACGTATCTAATAGTTCCTCATGGCGATCTCGTGTGCATCTACAATCCATTCTTACACACAGCCACGCGCACACACACACAACACAATGCTAATCTAATCAGTACTACTACTACTACTCACAGATATAAATGATACCTACAGTAGAGTCTGATGGTGTCTGGTTTATATATATATATACATAATTAGATATAATTACCATAATTTACACGATTAATTGCATACACCTGTTATATATATATATATTACATATTTTTTATATGCATACACGTCGCGAGGAGATACGAGGAGGACACTCTGAGAGTGTGAAGGAAACTGTGAAAGGAGTCAATACGTGTGAATGAATTCTGTTGGGTATTGCCATTGCGGCATTGGATAAAAGATGTGAAAAGGACCTCCGATGACATGTTTTGGGCAGGGCTGCGAAAGAGCAGTGGTCCCAAATGTGCAAGGGAAGGAAATCAAACATACACTACTCCTCGTGCATTCCTCGTGTGACTCATGTTGGTGTGTCAGGCCACGAACAGGTTTGAGTCTCAGGAAATCATTTGGCCACAGCACCTGAGGGAATCGCAGAAACCACAGACCTGACATCAGACGACATCACAGGTCGCCCATCTTCGGCTCAGCCAGCTGCGCGAAAGCAAGCTGCACCGCGGCCAGGCAGCTTCCGCTTTCGCTATACCCTCCAAAACTGCCTTATCTTCATGCAGTGAAACCTTTGAAAAGATATGTGATATGGATGATACAGATGTAATCATGCAGAGTGGTCATGAGTCACATTTAAGAAACCATACAGTAATAATCTCACGCCATGACATACTATATTTTTGAATCTTGTTTGGATGTGTTGATTTTGGAGCGATGGGTGCATAGAGTTGAGACGTGGCACCGAATGCCCGTGCATATCCGGAAAGCCAGCCAGCCTGAGTGGACTCCCCTCGCAGGAGCACAATTGCCAAAGTCAGCAGCGAGGTTCACATGTGGCAAACATGGCAAATTGCTGACTTTGTAAATCGGGCATAATTGGGCAACATGGAATTGACTACTCAATGAACGTGGCAAGATGCGAAAGCAACCAAACAATCCAAGCGCTCAAAGCCGACTTTCTGCACTTTTTGCGGCCAGGGGATCAGCCTCTCGTAGTGCCAGTGGTCGACGAGTTGGGCACTGAGTGATATATGAAGTCACCCTAATTTTTGGGAATTAGTTGGCTGTACATTTCAACAGATTGATTTGGCAAACCGGCAAACCGGCCTAGGTGCAGATCCTTAGAACTCCACCAAAGCATTTGGCAGAGGTGCCGCCTCAAGCAGACTTTGAAAGTTTGCCACGCCACCATCATATGACTTTGATACGACTTTGATATGTTTCGAAAGACAGTTGACGAGATTCCAGAGTGAAAGATGGTGAAGGTTGAATTAGGAGCAGAGCAGTACAAAAAGATCAAGATTTAATCAATTGAATTCAATTGAGCCATACTGCGAGACAACTATTGCATGATAGCCGTCAGGATGCTACGAAAAGCTCCAGCCCAGGGGAGGATGGCATGTCCAGCGTGTCAGAGGCACGTGTACTGTACAGAAAAAGGCAGTGGATATCAGTGGATACAATGCTCAGACACGACCGTACTTGCTACATGTTACAGTACTACAAAATCACATAGATACTGTAGTACATTTATGTGCCTTTGTAGTACTGTACCCAAGCAAATTGGAGTTTTTTTCTCCAGGCACCACAGGCTGCACCAGCAGCCACATCTGTCAGTGGAGCAGCTGGATTGCCGTCCAGTGTAGTGGGAAGACCAATGAGGTGCCCTAGAGAAACAGGTGATGACGGACCTGACAGTTGCATCGGTTGCATGATGCTGCATGGAGAAGATTGCCTGCTCATAGTTTTCAGGACCAAACTCATGCGCTGTTTAGTTGACACTGCCGCATCAAAATGCACAGGACATCTAACAGTGCCGAAGCGAATACAGCAACCACAGCGTTTTTTCCGGATGTAGACTACCTCCGATCCTTTTGTTGGTCAATTCGTGACAGGAAGGTCCTGCCACTTGGACCCATTTGGATGTGAAATTACATGAAAAACAACATCATGTCACGCCAGGCGACGATCCTTGAAACAGGTCCAGGCAGCTGGTTCAGGCCTGGAACTCCCAGGTGAGGCCTCGCAAAGGTGAGGCATATAGTATGATAGGACCATATGATTGATAGTATGGGAATGTATTATGGGAATGTATGGGATATATGATATATGAATAATAATATATAATATTATATTTGTATGGGATGATATGGGCAGATCAGGGAAGTGCTGAAACCTTTGAACATAGGGAGACTCCAGGGACATGGGAAAAGTGGAATGAATGAAATTGTGAGGAAACGAATCCAACATGAATCCAATATTCCAATATATTCCAAACTCTGCTGCCAGGAGAGAAGGTGCAGCACAGCAACGTACCAAGGAGTCCTTGATCTGAGTGTGAGTGGGTACGTGTGGCAAGTCTGCTTGTATAAACGTATGTCAACTTTTTCTGTCCAAGAAGAATTGGGTACTACACCCTGGCATGACAACTCACGTAAAACTTCTTATTTCTGCGATTTATACATCGAGATCTCATCAAAGCAAGATCTTATTTCATGGCCTAATTTCAACAGTCAAGTTGCTGGACGGCGTTTGCTTACGTCAAGAAAAACATCATTGTCACCAGAGAACTTTTCCCCTTGTGCCAGGATGGAAGATCCTACCCCTCAGCAGACGGCAAGCCACTGGCTCAGCTTTGTCTAACCACAAGTGACGAGCATTTTGAAGCCCCAAAAATACTGGAGACCAAAAGGATTGAAAGAGACTGAATGTGTTGCAACACTTTGATTTCCGAAACCATTGAGAAATGCGACTCTGATGGAACATGACAAGCTCACACGGGCAGCAGGATCCATGGGCAGCATTGCTTAAACATATTTAAACAGCAGACACTTCTTCCAACCATTGCCATTGTGTTACCAACGTCAGCTGCAAACTTCAGGTGTCTGGGCCCAATCCAACACTAAAGTGGCCGGGAGCCTAGTTGGAACGTCCACAGCCGGTAACATGCAGATCCATGCAGAGCAAGTTAAGTTGCACTGTGCGGCGCTGCAGGAGCCAGAGATCTCCACAACAAAGCGAGACTACAAAGCGCCACCACAAGAAGCCTTCGAGCAGGCGGCAGTACTTTCAGCGGGGTTTCCTTTAGTGATAATTTCACGTGGAGTTGTGTTTGTTCACTCATAGCATCTCATAGCTCTCTTTCTCCGCCAATCACGGAAACGGACAGATTGTTATTACTAACCCTTCGCGTGGGAGAATGTAGGAGAGATTAGGAGAGGTACATGAATTAATTACATGTAAATTACATAATGTCAACGGCGGCAGGTTCAAGAATCCAAGATAGTTGCCCCCATCAGGTAGTGATGCGTTCGCCCAGAATAGTTCCTTTGTAGTCCAGGGCATTTCACTATGTTGAGCAAACCTTCGCCCCAAGCACAGGTCTCACAAACTGGGTTGGGGCCAAAGACTCGTGCACCTACAGTGGTGGGCAAGGCGGGGTAAAAGATGTTCAAAGTTGACCCAAGCTGACCAGAGTTCAATCAATTTTGCCAGCCCTTTGCTGCTTGGCTTGGCTGACCTTGCAGGGCAACAGTGAAAGATATGGGTGAGAGACCTCAGAATCATGAACATGCAACAGGATGCTCAGAATGCGCAGGATGCATGAAGGTAAATGAAGGTCCAGGGTGTGGCCGGCTTTGGTACGTTGTGGTCATGCATCCAATGTCCAACAACGTGGACAGCTTTCCTATGGCCATCGGATACAGACTATGACAAACATGACACCTAGGCACTTGAATGTTGATGGACGGTTCACAGCACCCGCTGCTTCAAGCAGGGATCAGCCAGCGTCTTACCCAAGCAAGTGGACAGGGATTATCATTGGGTCCTCCCAGCAGACAGCATAGTTTGCAGACATCACCAAACAGGGAAAGTCTGGGCCTGCAGTTGCGCAATGCAAAGAGACATTTGATCGCATGTCTTGTTTATAAAAGCGCTAGAAGGTACACGGCTCAGCCGCCGAAAGGCAAAGGAGAACCAGGCTCGTTGCTCTCACTTGGATACTTTCCTCAGCTTGCGGGAACTTGAGCAATCACTGTGCTTCATCTATATACCTTCGTTTATCTTCGTTTACAGTTCGGCACCTCCAAAGTTTACCTTTCCTATCCTTTCATAATTTTTGTATTGACTCAAGTGACGCAAATGCAAACGTCACCTTTCTGGAGGAGAAAGGGCACCTCTACGCATAAGCCAATGAATATAATGAATTTCCGTGCTTTCAGTCCTATCTGTATAATTATTTGGCCAAAGTGCTCCGACTGAAAGCAAAAGACATGCTCCAGACATCGGTGATTCTCATTGCTTATATTAATTATACTGGACAAGGCCAGGAGGTACAAAGTTTGCCCCTTGGCTTGGAATCCAACCGAGCAATTGATCAATTGGATGCGCAGCTAATGAAGCGTCACAACGGTCTGATTTCGAAGCAGCACAGTTCAGGTTTAAACCGAGAAGATTTACCCGCAGCTTGACTTTGTTTGTCGCAAAGATGTCTTGCTGATCTGATCTTGACTATGCTGAAGACCATATCTCTCAACCAGTCAGACCTGCCCTTCACTGCATTTGGCTCCTGGCTTCACTCCACATCCTCAGGGCAGCATGGCAAATCGGTGTATTAGAAATTAGATAATTTTGATTAAGTTTGTGTGATT